GCAGAGAGGGTTTGGAGTCATTAATGGGACCTTCTACCCTGTTGGGTAAACAAAATCGATATTTTTTTACAACATTTTCTGAAAGTTTGAAGTATTAAAAATACGTTCGTAAAGTTGTAAGCCGGAATTCGAAGAATTGAGAATTATAGAGCTATTTAAAGAGAAGCGCCCAGATAGAAATCGGATCGTGCTGCGCGCCGCGGTACGCTGCGTCGCGGCGCCGATCAAATGTCTATCCAAGTTTTTGTTTGCGAAAAAATCGTTTCTTCTTTTCTGTCGCTTCGCTAACTAATTGTGAGATGTAGAATAAACAAAAGAGAACAGGCATGCGAACAAAGGAGAACGGGATTCGCAGCTAGAAACGTGTGTTTAGTCTCAGTACGTTCTTATACCTCGACGCATACCGATACTTTTATTTGTTTTCTTAATGTATAAAAGCAATAAGTTTAAAGCAATAATGTATAAAAGCAATAAAAAAGGCATTGCCCGCCCTGGACAGAGAAATAAGAAGAAGAAATTTGGCAACCGATTTTCAAAAAAGCACAATTCGGATCTTGCAAGTACTTCTGCAGAGAAATTAAGAAAGAACAATGGTACTGAAATCACAGTCGATCCAACTCAAGGCTACCATATAATTCACTTCGTTTCAATCTTTTCGACTTTCACTGCTATATTAAAATGTAAAGAATGTGAAAGTGATGTTACATTCAATGTGAAAGATGAAAAAGGCTTGGGATTCCAGCTCGCTGTAATGTGTTATTGTCGCGAAACGAAAATAAACTCTTGTCCGAAAATTAATAATAAGGTATTTGAAATTAATAGACGAATAGTATTCGTAATACACCTTTTAGAAGTCGGTTTGGAAGGACTCAATATATTTTGTGGCATGATGAATATTGATCAAGGAATGGCTATCAATACGTATTATATATGCATAAAAAATATATGAAATTCCGCAAATGCAGTTTTCAATATAATGACGAAAAAGGCGGTTCAAGGAGAAAAGACAAAAACTACCGAAGAAGGAAGTGAATTTATCAATGCTCCGGCGATGAAATATAGAGCAAAAGAGGGTTTACTTCGTTATTTAGAGCCGTTAGTCTGATTGGAAAAAATACTAACAAGGTACTGGATGTAATTGTTAAGTCAAGTTTTTGTTTATCGTGTAAGTATCGGGAACGTAAAGTTGGCAGACGAGTACGAAGAATGACTAGAAAAACACAAGGAAGAATGTGCGTGTACTCATTCGAGAAGCGCGGGAAAAATGGAAGTTGATGGCGTCATAGAAATCTTTAAAAGATCGGTCGAACGTCTCGGTGTATGCTATAAGAATTACATTGGCGACGGTGACACGAAGACATTCAAATCACTTATAACATAAAATCCATATGGAGGTGAATTTCCAGTAAAGAAAAAAAGAGTGCATAGGGCATATACAGAAGAGAATGGGCTCGAGATTGAGATCTGCGAACAAAAAACATGCGGGAATTGGAGGTAAAGGCGAAGGAAAACTAACCGATCAGCTGATTCGAGATTTGTTAACATATTATGGTTTGGCTATAAGAAGACATTCCGACTCAGTCACTGATATGCAGAACGCAATATGGGCCATGTCCAACCATAAATGTTCGACTGATGAAAATCCGATGCATCAAAACTGTCCGCCAGGAATGGATTCATGGTGCAAACGGAGACGCGTGAAAGTCGAACAAAAATTAGATGCTTACCATCATCCTCCTCCTCTTTCAAGTAAAGTCCAAGAAGTTTTACGCTCTATATATAAAGAACTTACATCTGATGACTTCATAGAGAGATGTTTAGGTGACCATACTCAAAATAATAACGAGAGCTACAATAGTGTTCTGTGGCATTTCGCTCCAAAGCATCGCTTTTCGTCTGTGAAGATAGTAGAAATTGCAGCTTTCCTGGATGCTTATTTATTTAATAAAGGCTATACTTCTTTTTTAATAGTGATGGGAGCCATGGGGATTAAATTTGGCCCACAGGCTAATATAATGGTTAACGGCAAGGACAACAATCGAATACAACATGCTAAACGATGTCACTTAAAATCCTCCAAGGAGCAAGAACGGTTCGCAGGAACGAAATAGCAGGCCAAAACGAGATTTTCCAGGAAGAAGAGGGCTTACTATATGCTCCTGGAATAGCTGATTAGCAGTGAGTACAAAAGTTTCCGTTTTATATACCTGGCAACCTAACTTGAAACTTTAAAGCTGTTTTTCTCAAAACAACATTTTGCGAAATGGCGTAACTTCTATCTCGGAAACTAATGAAGCAATCGGCTTCCAATTTTACATGCACACATAAAAAAGTGCTCCCCATAAGACTACGGAGAATAGAAAATATTCAATAGATTTTTTATAAACAAAAGAAGTTGTATTTCTTAGCAAAAAGACATTTGTTTTTCTTTTTAAGATCGCCATTTCGAAATAAATTGGAATTTTTTGATACCTATAATCTATCTTGTGCACATACTCATATATTTCAAGAATCTTTTTCGTTTTATTGTTTAGGAGCACTTGGAGAAAAGCTAGAATGTACGCCATCGAGATACATTTTTCTCAAACACTCCCCGTCCGCTCACTCTGGTTTTCACAGTTTTCAATACTTTTGGCTACAAATTTACAGAAAGTAGAAGGAAATATGAATAAATATATCTGTAGAATATGAGAATGATCTATTGAATAGTTTTTGTTAAAAAAAATACAAAAAATGTTTTCCTATTTTTTTGACCAACAAGGTAGAAGGTCCCTTTAAATACTGTGGGAGTGACGAACCGCGGGGTCCTTATTTCTGCTGACACACACACACACACACGCACACGAACACGCACACGCACACGCATACGCACACACGAACACACACGGGTGTAAAGTCCGACCATGCAACCTCCACGCGGTACATCCTGGATAATACCAATGCAGCACCGTAAATTCTAAAACTCATAATTCAGACAATTCTCAATAAAAATAGGTCATCAAGTAGTGTTTTTGAAACGTCTCGCTGTCATCTTTAACACTATGTGATAAAAAATGGAGTATTCCATTTTAAAAAATCATATTGGCTTTGACTTCGCGTTGACCCCTCCACTCAAGGTCAAACGGATATGATCATTCGATAGAACTTTTAAAACCCTATAACTTTGGTTGAAAACATTTTTCTCAGAAACGTTCCGTTTTCGTGATATTTAACCGTTTTCAGACTTTTCTAATACCCTTATACCTGCACGCATTCACACGAGATTTAAATCCGATCATCTACCACCACGTGAAGTATCTTGATCGAGTTACATGTTAATTTTCTTTTTGAAAAAATTTTCCACGATAATTTTTATCCCGAACTGAATATTTTACATGAAAAGGTTGTCCATTTTGTAACATTTTCTTCAAAACGACATAACTTTATCAAAAAAGATCGTAGAAAAATGATTAAAATATAGATTTGTTAGGTGTTTGGAAATGAGTGTGCCGCCAGAGAAGCGAGCGAAGCCCGCCTGTCCTGCATGGCGGGCGGCATGGATTCGCGGCGCTGGCTTACTCGAAGTCGGCACAGCGCTCCGGTCTCTCGCAGGCGAGCGCGCGGCCGTCCCGCCGGTCGCCTTCGCTCGGCGAGTAGCTCCAGCCGTGGCTGCTACGAGGCGCCACCTGACTCTGCAACCCGCGGGCAAGAATGCGCCGGCCGAGTATATACTCCGCTAAACGGCCGGCTCTTCGCCTTCGTATGGCCCAACGCCGATTGTAACAATCTCTGGTGTCTGGTCTGTGCGACTTTGTAGCGCCCATCCTTTACTAACCTGCTCTCTAGGCTTTTTCCTAGTGCAGGTTCCGCGTGTAGTAGAGATTCGAACCAATGCAATATAAAATCTGCTGAGCTGACGGCGGTACCAATACACCCTGCTGAGTTGAGGCTTTACGGTGAGAATCGACTTTAGCTTTGAGTTCACCGCGTTGCCACGATTCAGGAGCGAACTTAATCGCCTCCGTGTGGAACGAGTGAACTTTTGAGCGTCCATTGAGGACCTCGGCTGTTAGGCGTGGCCGTCTCCTTTGAAGTTTACGAACTCTCTCTCTTCCCAAGTATCCATCGAGGATCTTGGTAATTTCTAGAGCAACGTGATCGCTTCTTTGAGAAATCTGAGCTCTCGGTCCAAGCGTCCGCAAGACCTTGGCTAATCGCCCAGGAGCAACTCAGTCGCCTCCTGCATGACAAGAGCTCAAAGCTTTCGTGCGTCTCCACGGTTCTCAGGACCGAGGCAGATTGCAGGCCATTGAGTCCGGAAAGGCAAGCCGTCCGAAACGACGGAGGTCGTTTCACTTTCGCGCTCGTGAACGTCTTTGTCACGAGTGCTGCTCGGGTTTCTTGGTTCGGATTTACGACCCGAAGAGGCCGCACGAGACCTGAGTCTACTATCATCCTTGACTCCGATCCTTCTGATAAGGGTGTTCCGGCATCCGCGCAATTTCGCTCATTCTTGAGCAAAGTCGCAAACATTAGGAAATATATGAGCTTAAAATTTCATACATTTTTGTACCAGAGAACCAATTCCCCTAAGCAATGCAATAGTTAAAAAACAATTTTTTTCTAATTAATCGAAATCTATTTTCAATATTCACAATTTTGTAAAACATTTTTTATAATTCACTTGTAGGTTCTTAGTTATTACAAGAAATGTCCAAGTTTTAATTTGAATTTTGTTTTATTTCAATATGATAATTTTTGGCTGAGATATTTTGGTTGAGCTATTAAAAGATGTTACAAAATAGTGTTAAAATTTAGTGGCCCGTTTTCTTTTTGCGGGTGAGTGTATTTAAGATCAAATTGATAGAACTAGTAAATTCTATAAGTACTTTTTCCCGTTTCTATAACATGTTTTTTTCCGAAGTATCAAATCGTTTCGCGACTTTTCGAATATTCTGTATAATTTTTAATTTTTACGCATGTTTGACTTTTTTATAACAATTTTATTTTTAATTTCTTACCACATGTCTTTCCTTGGCAAGCTTGTATAATAACAATTTTTATAATATCTTTCAATTCCATGGAGCAAAGATTTCTTTCAATCATTTCTAGAGAAATTTCCTTCTCGTCTGATGTTATTACACCTCCTGTAACAAATATATCTTTTATTTGACTGAATAAAACAAATATTAACGGTATTAGAATAATAAAATAAAATATATTAATAGGATATTGTATGCGACATTGGGAAGTATCATGTTACTTCCTTATCAAGAGTCTGAATCTAAGGATGGCGTCTTACAAAACTGAGACAATATTTTTCTAATAGGAGAACTAAGGCACCGCCCAGGACTAAAATTATGATGAACAATATTGGCGTCCTTGTGGGGGCCCGGTTTAAATATCTGGGAAGGATGATAGGATTTCAGACGCCATTTTGAAAGGCTAGTTCCCAGTGCATGATCAGCGGCAACCTCATCGGCTTCATGCGCAACTTGGGTAACCCTAGTAAAAGAATTTGCCGTCTATATGTTACGAGGGTAGTCCCAGAAGTACCTGACCTAACAAAGAAAACAAAAAATTTGGGAAAAAATATCTTTATTTTTCTACATAGTCTCCTTTTAGCTCAATACACTTTTCCCAGCGATGTTCAATAGCTTCGATACCCTGTTTATAGTGGGAATCGTCGAGTTCCTCAAAATAGCTATCAAGCCACCTTAGTCCATTGTTTTGACTGTTCCTTCGTCTCAGGTATGAAGTGTTTCATCCATGGTTATGAATCGACACAAAAACTCGGCTTTATTGCTGCGAAACTTCGCCAAACACTCGATTGAAACATCCTCACGACGCTGTTTTTGTTCCAATCGCGGTACCCATCTTGCGCACAGCTTTCTCATGTCCAAATTTTCAGTCAATATGCGATGTACAGCACTTTTTGAAATGCCTATCATGTCTGCTAACTCGCGTACTTTAAGTCAACGGTCATCCAATACCATTTTGTGGATTTTCTTCACCATTTCTGGAGTGGTCACCTCATTTGGTCGACCACTGCGATGTTCATCTTGGCAGCTCGTATGGCCTCGTTTAAACTCTGCCACCCAATATTTTACTGTTGTAAACGAAGGAGCAGACTTCCCCAGAGTAGAATCTAGCTCCGCTTTGATATTGGTTGGACTGAGGATTTTCAAATGAAAGTATTGTATCACATAACGATGACCAATTTTTTCCATGTTTACAAATTCACTGAGAGCGTTCACTATTGATGGCTGCCAAACAAATACTAAACAACGTAGCGTCGTCAAACTTCAAACTTAAATCTTTATAAGGTTGGTACTTTCTACCATAGTTATTCTTTTCAAACAACAACCGCTATCTATATGTCAGGTCAGGTACTTCTGGGACTACCCTCGTAGCTTAGTGACATCGCTTATCTTTTATAAGGCGCTTATGTAAGTAATAAAATGATTCGATAAAACTGAAAACTTATTTATTTCTCTAGTTAATCTAATTCAGTTTTAAGAACCGCTATTGATTTTTCGATAGCACAGCTGATCAGATCGTCTCTGTTAACCAACAATCGAATGATGGGCGTCATTACATATACATGTACTCGTATACCAAATCCAAATTATTTTTTTTTATATATAGAGTGTGGCAAAAGTCTGGAAACACTCAAATATCTCTTAAAAAATGAATTTTAGAAAAAAACGTTTCAGACAAAAGTTGTAAGGTTTAAAAAGATGAATTCAACGGTAATATCCGCTTTATCTTGGGTAGCGTGCCAAAATCAAGTCAGGGTCAACCTGATATTTGGTCAAATAGAATCCCCCACTTTTTATTACATATTCTTATAGCTTACCTCGAGAGCTTTCCAAAACACTATAACAAAGTTTTTTTTCGTTAAATACTTTCCGAGTTATGAGGCACGAAGGTTGCAGTACCGCCGACATTAGTATTACCCAAGATGTACCGCGTAGAGGTTGCACGGTCGGATTTACATCTCGTGTGTGCGTGTGTGTGTGCGTGCGTGTGTGTGTGTGTAAAAAAGTGAGTGAGTGAGCGATTGAATGAGTATGCGTCTACAATATATAAATGTTCAAATTGTTGACCTTCTTCAATTTGACACTGAAGCAGTCGATCATGAAAGCTCCTACTAACGTTTTCCAATGTTTCGGAGCTAATTAATACCACTTCAGTGGTAATTCAGTGTCGCAAATCATCCAAATTTTGAGATTTTATTTTGTAAACGCGATCTTTTAAATAACTCCAAAAGAAAAAATCCAAGGGATTCATGTCAGGTGATCGGGGTGGCTACTCGATTGGTCCCCTCCTTCCTAATCATCTTTCAGGAGAAATATCGTTTAAAAACAGTCGTATCTGCAATCCAAAATGTGGAGGGGCACCATACTGCTGAAACCAAACTGTATCAAAATTTAAACTGAAAATATTACGAATAGCAGGAATAATATCGTCTTGATATTTAAAAGATCGCGTTTACAAAGCAAAACTTCAAAATTTGGATGATTTGCGACACTGAATTACCACTGAAGTGGCATTAATTACCTCCGAAACATTGGAAAATGTTAGTAGGAGCTTTGATGATCGACTGCTTCAGTGTCAAATTGAAGAAGGTCCACAATTCGAACATTTATATTTGTAGACGCATACTCATTCAATTACTCACTCACTCACTTTTTTACACACGCACGCACATATGCACGCACACGCGCACGCACACACACATGCACACACGCACGCACACACGAGATGTAAATCCGACTGTGCTACCTCCACGCGGTACATCTTGGGTAATATTAATGTCGGCGGTACTGCAACCTTCGTGCCTCATAACTCGGAAAGTACTTAACGAAATAAAACTTCGTTATGAAACTTCGTGTTTTGAAAAGCTCTCGAGGTAAGCTACAAAAATATGTAATAAAAAGTTGGATATTCTATTTATAAATATCAGGTTGTCCTTGACCTGACCTTGGCAACGTCATCCAAGGTCAAGCGGATATTACTGTTGAATGCATCTTTTTAAACTTTATAACTTTTGTTTGAAACGTTCTTTTCTAAAATTCATTTTTTAACACTTTGCCGGCCGCTTACTTCTCGCATCGCCTTTACGCTGTCGCCAGCGAATTTCGCGCGGGTTCTACTGCTCGCCGACGGTGATATTAAAGAATGTCAAGAAAAGACAATCGAGATAGTTAAAACAGAAGCATAGTGGAAACATTGTTGCCGCGCTGAACCGAAGTCACGCGTACACTCAGAGACAGGTATGGTGTCCCCCGGCGATGTCGTATACGCTTGTAAAACAATCGAAAGCGATGACAGGCATATACGCATACGCATATGGGCGTACTATACAGCGCGAGAGTAGCGACGAAGGAGAAGTGGTGGGAGACGTTCCGATGTTGCATCCTTATCGCACGTCGCACGATCGAGAGAGAAAGCATTACCAGACGTGGTACGGTTAATTGTGTCCCCAATAGCTGTCTCACTCACTCTACGCTTGAATGCAGGGAATATGAGTGAGACAGCTATAGAGACGCCACACTGTCTCTATAGGTGTCTCGCTCGCTCTAATAGCGATGTATCGCGCTTTCCTCTATTCTCATTAGCAGAAATGCCGATTAAGGAGGGAATCCTGCCTGTAGGTCAGAAAAATAAGCTACTTTCACGAATTTTTTTTCGGCAACTAAGCAGACGACTGATTTCAAACTTGATAGAAATAATAATATATGTTTTATTGATAAGAATAAATTTTTATAGCGTTATATGAATAATAATGTAGCAAATATACAAAAAATAACGTGACGTGTTTAGGCGCGCGCCGTTTCACGGTTCCTATAAAATCTCAAAATATGGTGGACTGAGACAAAAACGCAAGTAAGATAAAAATGCTACTTAAAATGTAGGCTCCGCTCTTGAAAACATAAAAAAAAATTAGGGAACTCTTAATAATAAAAATTACAATTATAATAACGAAACGCTATATAGCATTTCCTGAAGCCTCTTTTTATATAAAAAAAGTCGATCGATCGACTTCAGCATGTAGTTATATATTCGAAACATGTCTATCGTGTGAACTAACGAAATTAAAAAATATTAATTTTTTATATGCACCGCGCTGTCTCTATAGGTGTCTCGCTCGCTGTAATAGCCATGTATCGCGCTTTTCTCTTTTATAACACTATAAAAATTTTTTTATTATCAATAAAACATATATTATTATATCTATCAAGTTTGAAATCAATCGTCGACGAATAATTAGCAAGATATCGTAAGTTAAATGTTGAAAAAGTTACCAAGTTTTCCTTAAATATTTCAAAAAATATTAGGCAAATAAAAAATGTTGCAGACAAAAGTTATTAAAATTAATTGGTAGAAAAAGAAGATATAATAAAAAATTGGGCTTTCTATTTAAAAAATTAAGTTGACCTTCAACTGACCTTGAAAATGCCCTCCAAATAAAAAACTGATCATGCTACTCTCTTTCCCCTTCGAAATCATGGAACACGTGTTTTAGCTGTTTTTAATATCTTTCATGGTTTTGAGATTTTTTACCTGTTACGTTCGAATTTTAGCACCCTGTATATATGTTAGGTATCTCAGTTGGCGTTACTTTTTTAATATATCACTTCTGTTGTAAAGTAGAATAGTATTGTAGAGTTTTATTATAGTTATAAATTTTATTTATAAAAATTTATATTACGTATATATATCAGATTGTCTAAAAAGTATTGAGCTTTTTGCGCACGAGATAACGTTAGTGTCCCAAATTTCAGAATATATGAGTCGCAGCAGGTCAAGACTAACGTCATTTGATAGCTGACGGTTAAAAGTAGTAGACTTACAAAAAGTGTTGGAATTCTTATTGTTCCGAATTGGAAAATCATATCGGCGGTTCTGCGTGCTCATTAAAATCGTCCAGCGGATTCTCGCGGAGCGTGTGCTGGACGCCGGTAACAGCGAGTCACCGCTCGGGCAAATCACCCATGTTTACAAACGAATTATTTGCTCGATCTTTGTCTTGCCGCCTGGTATTGTCTCGGCGCGTTACACTGTCTCATTGTGTCGGTGACAATAACGCTCTTTCCATCAGAAAAAACGTGCGGCAGTCTAATGTCTCGTGACTAACGGC